TTGTGCTTACTTCCTTGCGTACGGATGACAGCTGCGTATGAATTTATTTATTTTCTGGTGCTTTCACTTCCAGAGCGTTCATCGCTCTTTTTTTTCCCATATTCATGTGGCACTCGTTGTTTATCGGGTAGGGGTGTTAAGCACTGTGTAACTGCCTCGAGGGTGCTTGACCATTTTAGCACAACGTGGTGCGATCATCCCCCTTGCGCGGAGCGAGGGTTCTCCACCCCGCACAACATGANTCGTTGCCAAGCGACGAAAACCCAATCCCGATGGCAAACACTGGGGGGGAGGATATTCAGGTAGATTGATGTTGTGGAGGGGAAACTGTAGAATAAGCTGGGTTATCTTGAGTGCATTCAATCCGCCTTCTCTTGAATGCGTTAACCCATATCAATAGCCGCAAAGCAAGCGGCCTTGTGCTCTATGAATTATCAGTCGGATAGTTCCCTGGGAAACCACAACAAGCACACAGCGGTACAAGCTAAACCTTCTCAGGATAGTGCTTTTTCCTTTGTCGTTGCTTGTCCATATTGTCGGATGCCGTTACTGTGCTCGTGGTGCAAGCCACGAGCTAGACCGGACTCAGTCACTTTGATTAGCAGCTTCAGTAAAAGAACTCTTTGTTGAACGATCGGACTGAAAGCTTGGTATTCTTCATCCTGTGTGTACCTACCGGGTGAGTCTCGAGCGTTTACGCTGCCTTGGAGAGCGACTACACGGTCGGGATGCTTCTGGTGTTTAAGCGCTACTTGCACAGGCTTTCGGTTGGATCGTGCTCAATGGAGTATTCCTATCGCTGCCTGATGCAACATATCTGAGCAACCACAGCGTATCGGCCGTCGTGACCCTCACAGTTCGAACAAAGTAAGAGTTCGAGGGCAAGCCTGTTCCGCAAAATTGGTTGGCCCCCAAACACTTGGAGATTCTTGTCGTGCTCATTCCAAACAGGCGAGTCATCCCCGAAAACATCCCTCAGGTTTGAACAGGTTCCTTGCATGTACCCTATTCAGCATGTTCAGGAACAGGAGTGGGTTGCACGTGGTTCTTACCGCAATCCTTCAGTACTGCAGCAACAACAACAACAATAACAACAACAATGACAATGACAACAACGACAACAACAACAACAACAACGACGACGACAACAACAACAACAACAACAACAACAACAACAACAAAAACCCACCCGGGAAATGATGGACGCTTGATTGCTTGTCGATACGTTTCGCATTCCCAGGTGGGGCCCTTGTTTGGTGAGGCGCACACGTCGTGGCAAAAACGACAAAGATGGGTCAGTCGGACCTCCCAACGTCACTTATATCTTGAACCTAGACTACCTGGTACGTGTTTGCGGCGTCCTTCACAACGAAATCAAGTAGGAGTTGAAACTGGGCGAGGGATCAGAACGAAACGAGTACAATGGTCTCGCGATACATGATGCATTCAGTGGAAATCGAAAGACATCTGCACCCCTCCTCTCGTGTCTCATGCTGAAGGTGTTGGACAACTATAATAGGCCATCGACTATATAGAGGTGAAACCCAATGACTTTCATATGTGATAGTGTGATAGGGTTAGGCTATGTCGTATTGGACCGTCGAATCTCGACTTCATAACCTTGAAAACATGGGGTCGGAGTCCCGTTGGTTGTACCGTACATGCAACGAGACGATGCTGGTTTTCTCGCGTTACCTCCTTTGGCTAGGAAAGAGGTCCTTCATCGTATCATGCTGTGTGTTTCTGTTGCTATGTTGGAGGTTTTCGAGATCACCACGACTTTTGAACAGAAACTAAGCCTCGCTATCATGATAAAATGTTTCTATTGCGTTTAGTCCAGGAAGCGAAAATAGTCCGGACGGAGGGTACAAACAGGTTGTTTTGAGCACGACTAACGTTTTATTTTTCATCGCAGTACCGTACACACGTCTAATGCGAGTGTTGAGAGTACTCCACGGAGTCGGAGAATTTCGCTCTTGGCGCACAAGCCCATATCCAAGGTGCCGATGGTTGAGGATTTAGCTTAAATTTACCGTTTGAAACAGCTTACGCTTTTTCTTTTTTTGATATTTTCTTAAATGGATCCGCGAGCCCGAGCCTCCGGCCGCTCATAAGACCTTGGAACGGTCCCATCTGGCTTGAGGCAGAGTCCCGTCAAACGATGTGTTTTCGTTTTTCACGAAGGCAAGTCTGGGCTGGCCATATTTCAAGACATGTTCACAGATGTTGACCATCGCCGTAACGAAAGCTTGCGGCGGATATGCACAGACACGCAAAGACACAAAAGCCACCAGCTGGATACGTATTGATTGAAATGTTGAACTCCCCACGCCTGGTGCTCACACGTGCGCTACCTTGCGCATTTGTCACGACCTTAATCTAAACCCGCCGCCGCTTCCAACGTACAGCAACGGCTTGGGAATAGCATTCGACAACAACCTCCCGCTCGAGGTGTTTCCCTGGACCCTACTGCCTGGACGAGCTGCCGCTGTTAGCGTCGCCCCGTCACCCCCAACCCCAACACACCCTACAACGGACAACGTGCCCCGTCTGCCCGTCGCTTCGGTCTCCGCCGACACCCCTTCGACGCTTCCATCGTCCTCATCTCGGCGCTTCTCGGCGCCGCGGCGCGACAGCCCACCGCCCCAGGTGTCCCCGACCGTTACAGCATAGTTCTTGTCGAGCTGTTGCATCAGGCCGATGGGTTTGTCTAGGGATGCTCGTCGCCTCCCCCGCTTCCTTGGAATCGCGCGCCCGCCCCCCGCCGCCGCGGCCGGCGACCCCCGAGTGAGCGTCGACGTGGACGGCGTCCCTGCCCGCGAGGAGGGGGGTTCCGTGGTATCGCTCAGGAGGGAAGGGAGGCTCCGTCGGTGGGCGCAGCTCTTAGAAGACGGCCGGTGGTGCATCAGCGCCAAGCGTGACTCTGAAGGATGGGGCTCCTTGGTGTCGCTTCGTCGTTGGAATGACCGGTCGGGAGGGCGCCACCGATCACCAGGCCCACTATTCTCCGACAGCAGCAGCTGCGCCGCTGGCTCGTCGTTGGAGGCGACCGACGTGGGCTGGTGTTGCTGACGCCAATGGAGCGGGGAGCCAACCTTGTTTTCGAAGGAGAGGAGCATTTTCGCCGACCGAGAACTGGATTTCTCGTTACGCCGCAACAGCTGCCATTCGCTGCACGGGCGGCTAGATGTGCCAGCCTCGTTCTCCTTCCACCCGCTGTTTGACAATCGACGGAAAGTGGGGGCGTCATAGCCCGGGTGTGGGTGGTTGGTTCGGTTGTTTCGACAAAGGTGTCTTGATTGTGAGTGTGGTGTTGGTCCGGCCGTTCGTCGGGCCGTGTCGCCACCGTTCACGGGAACCGTCCATTGATAAGGTGATTTGTCATTGGACCCGACCGAGATACGTGTGTGCGCGAACAAGTGCTAGACGTAGAGTTTTTCAGAAAGAACAGAACCGAGAAGTGCAGTACATATGTCTGCCTTGATTTCGCGAAAACTACCTGTGCCTTTTCTGCCCATGCTGTACAAACTTCGCGTTCTATCTTGCTGTCGAATAGCAGCAACTTTTCCCGCAACGCACTTGTCCCAAGATCGGTTAAAACTTACAATATCGTTCTTGAAAAATATATCTGACCCTCTGTGAGGTATACTGACTAGTGGCTTAAAACTCTCAAGACCAGGAGGTGCACCTTGCGCCCTCTGACAAACGCCAAGTTGACTTACGAGCGGGCCTCTGTGTCCTCGCGAAGGGGGCCCACAGAATGCGAGCCCGGAACACCCCATGCAGGCGCCAGCGTGGAGCTAGTCCCGTGCGCACTGGTGTCGTCTCCTGTTGAGGCCGCTAACTTAAGCTCCGCTGTCGTCTGTCGTGAGAGTTAAAGATTTGAAGGAAAGCGCACGGGGAGGATAGTAGCAGAGGGGAATATCAGGAATCAGGCTAATTCGACCGTGATCAGCGGTGGGAGCGGGTATCATCTGTTTCTAACACCGCCCTTAGGAAGTTGTTGTGGTGCTGATGCGTGCACCCCTTCAAGATGGCGGGCGTCTTTTGTGGCAGAGTTCACCAGAGGACGATACACGATGAGTGCTTGCCTGCGGGACATGACTGATGTCTACTCTCGACGACGGCGACAAAGTCCAGGCTTCCCCGGGATTGCCGGGGGCCCACTGAAAAGCCCCATCTGCTGCTGCAACCCGCTCCATGTCCAGATTTTCGGAATGGTGAGGTGGTGGTTGCCGCCATTTTGGGTCTCCACCTCCGCGTCCTAGAGCGCTTGCACGCAAGTGGTCTCTGTTCAATTTTTCTGTTTGAAAGCGATCTAGAGCACCAACCGACTTGGTCCTCCCGCCCTTTCTCCGTGCTACATCGGACCGACCCGTGCTCGTTGTCGCGGGGTCTGACTCTGTTGATCTTCGTCTGGTGGTGTTTATCGACGAGGCTCCCCTGCCCGCTCGGCCCAACTGCCCACGAGTCTGTGGTTTCCGCACCATCCCGGAAACCGATACTCTCCGCCGACCCCCTGGATACTGTCGCGCTGGGTTCGCTTCTCCGCCTTTCCGTCGCCTTTGTTCTTGAGAATCTCTCACCCAGCCGCCGTTACGGTGATCGCCTGAACTCGTTCTGGTACCCCCAACAGAAACACTCACCACGTCAGTTTCAACCTCCGTCAAGAACGTGCTCCCGTCGAAGGCACGGGAATCTCGCGCGGTGGCGCCACTGGAGTGGGCGAGGGGGCGGCTGTCCTTCCTTTTACCCTTATGTTTACGGTTCCTCTTTTCCCTCAGGGCTATAAATCGTCGATCTAGGGGGTTCTGCCGTCTCATGGAAGCAGGGTCGGCCTCCTTTACCCAGCCGTTAACGCTCCGCATCGTAGCTACCCTTTTCCGCCTGAGAGTTGGCTTCGCCCGCCGCCCCCCGCTTGCCCGCAACCGAAGCAAGGGCGATGCCGAAATTTATTGCGTTTTGGAATGCTCCCAACGACTGCCGGGTCGATAACCTCGTCGTTGTTGAACTGTTGTTGATCCTATCGATCTTTGTCGTCGATCTGGGAGGCCGACCGCATTCACAGAGGTTGCCATGGGCGTCTGGTGCGGGACGCTGCAACCGGAAGAACATCTTCCGAGAATCGTGTTGTTCGGTCGTGATGGTGATGGCCTGTCGTGAGGTAAAACGCAACGGGAAACGCAACCACAGATCACACGTTACACGAGAACGTACAGCATAGTAGTTTGCTTTCAAGCGTAACGTCTTACTTCTCGGCTTTCTTTCGTGCGTCAGTGAGAGTTTCTACTCTTTGAAGGGCAGGAAAGGCAACCCGTGCTCTTCAAGTCGTCGAGTGTGGACGAACGAACGGTACAGCACTTCCCAACTTTGTCCGGACCATCATTTTCTGGTACTGGTGTAGAAAGATCACAAACCTTGTCGTGTTGAGTAGCCGTCCCTGGCCGCCGGGGTTTCCGCTGGCAAGGGCTTGGCCCAGTCGCTGGGTTCAACGGCAGACATTGCGTGTGCGAGAGATGTACAAGTAAATCGTTTCCTGTACTCCGGCTACATCATACTTTCAAACGCGTTGAATATCTCCCGATGAAGGTGGTAAACAGGTTTCAGTGATGACTGACCGACAAGCACGCACTACGTGCACCAAATATTCGTCAAGAAGCGCGTTCTTCACATAGGTCGTCACTGTTGTCAGGAAACGTTTCTAGGCTCAGCGTTTCGAAGCGTTCGATAGGTTTGTCGTGGACAGCCTTGGCCACCTATGAAGAATAGTGAATGGTACGATCAAGGATCTCGAACTCTAAGATGCTGTTGTCGAGGCCACAGTGAAGTTTAAGCTCTTCAGAAGCATCGCACCAGAAGCAACATTCGTTGCATATCATAGAATCTTGGCTCACCCGTTCGACAGACTCCCGTCGCAACGTACGTTCTTTGGGCGCGAGAGCTTCAACAGAGTCGTAGCCCATCAGCGGGTCCGCCAAACGATGCAAGGCGCTCATTGAAGTCGATTTAGTTATCCGAGGCTGCGTCTTGTATCGTCCCTGGATTCAAACCGCGCAGAACAATGGCGCCGTGCTTGTTTGGTAGAGCTGTGTGCTACGTTTCTTACGTTGGGGTCGCTGGTCATGCACCCGACAACGATCACCAGTAGCAGCACGTGGTGAGACCGTACAATCATACAGAGTGGGGCGCTAGAAGACCCGCGTTTGCTGTACACTCATTGCAAGAATATGGGTCCAGGCCATCTGCAGTTTAGGAGCGCCTTGCGCATGCCGCAACGCCAAGGTTTTACGTGTAGAGAGTGCAGAAGTGCATGCGCCATCTGCTGTTGCAGCAGAGATGGGATTCGCACCTTTAGGACTCGCATGGTAGGATCAACGCGCGGTCGAATGTACACCACATCGGGGTCGCATCCATCGCCATCTACCCGTACAGGGGTCAAGCACGCACCCGTGGCTCGCACCATGTCCTCTGCCCTCCTCCTCCTGTTCTGTTGCTCGGGGATCATGTTCAGGAGGTATCGTAGATCTGGATTGAGATGGGTTGATCTGTCCCCCCCAGGAATGCTCTTGCACCGTGACATGGCTTGCGCCCCGATACGTGGCTTCTGTGGAGGATTTTCGTACCACAAACCGCCATTAGTCCGCCCCAGCCGTGATCCTGCCGCGCTCCTTCCCTGTTCTCTATCCCTCGTCCTGTGGTGTGGCTGGCCGCACACCGCGCACTCGATGCACTCGTCGGGGCCTCGGTAGCCACAAAGCCAGCACGTGACCATGGCATCAACGTGCGGTGAGAAGTGCCTTCAAGAGCTCCCGCGGCAGCCGCTGCTGCTGTGAGAAACCGCCACACTTCTATCTCGCGATCCATTCCTTGCGAGAGTGCAGCAATATGGATCGAGAAAAACGTGCCAACGCGCACCGCAAGTGCATACTGCTTATTGTCGTCGAGGGGTCGATTCTGCTGCGAAAAAGAAAAATATTGGCGACGGTTTCATGTAAATCGACGACGCCTCCAACTCTTGTGTCGCAGAAATCCCCCGAGTCGTGAATTCGTGGTTGCTCGAGCTCAGAGTCTGGATCAGCTAGGTGAGGGAAGCAGGGCATATTAGATATTGGAACGGTACCGAGCTTGGGTGGATGCAGACTCCATGCGGAGACGTAGGTGTTCATTGCTCGGGCATTTCGCGGTTGTTCGCAGCAGAAGCTGTTAGTCTGCGGATAACCAGCCAACGCCTCTAGCCCTTGCGCCGACAAGTGAGAGCTTGTGTGAATGGCGCCTGGCACCGCCCGTCATCGGGTTGGCTCGGGAAAGCAGCTCTGATTGTGTCGGTATCCTTCTCGGGACGCAATCTGCCTGCTCTCTCATTCTCTCTTTGGGCCGCTATAGAACCGCGGGTGCTGCAGCAAGCCCGGAGCGCATGTTGGTGCGGTTGCGTCGCTCCTCACACCAACACCCTGCCCAAAACCCAAGTCTTTTTCAGCCCACTTGATCTTCCCCCTCTTGGCACACAGCAGGCACACCATGGCGGACTACGAGCCTCGAGGAATCACCGTGCGCGATGTCGCCGCGGCTGACTTCATCAAGGCGTACGCCGAGCACCTGAAGAACACCGGCCGTGTCGAGCTCCCCTCGTGGTGCGACTTGGTCAAGACCGCTCCCCACAAGGAGATGTGCCCCTACGACCAGGACTGGTACTACATCCGCGCCGGTGAGGCAGGAGAGCGAGCAGCGTGGAGAGTGTGAGGGGCGGATGGGGGGGGGTGCGATTGGAGTAATGCTCTGTGCGGTGTTGATCGCGTGGGTAGCGTTCATTTTCACCCGGGAATCAGTTGGTGTCGTGTAGCCGTGCATTCGTGTTGACAGCGGTGTACCGCACCAACACGACAGCGTAGGTACTTTGGATGGTGTGACGTAGGACACCACACCCCCTCTCCAGTCTTGATTGCTCGATTCCTCCACCACCGAGCGGATGTATGCTACAAATCTAACGAAACCGTTTCGGAACCCTCTCAAATAGATGACTCCTACGCCTCTATGTTCGGCGCCGTTGCGCTTTCTAGTGTGGAATGATCGAGCTTTGGAAATCGGTCCGGGCGCGCCGAATGTTGCGTAATATGTAACCTTGGGGTGGGTAGGTCGTTGGTCCGAGATGTGAGAAAACCTTCGGGCTGAGAACCCCACTCTCTTGCCAATTCGACATTGAGAAGAGTAATGGCGGTACCTCTTGCTGCATGATGGGACAAGTACATTGGTGTTGCATTGCTGTTGCGTTTTGGCGACATCAAGGGCCACTGAATAATGAAAATACTCTTTTTCTCTTGCTCAAGGCGAGGTCATGCCACGCCGCGGTGTGTCAACTTTCCGTCGCTAACGTCTGCACACGAACGCACGGCACGTGTCTTCTTTCCTTGTCGTGCCAAATACCTCTCAGTATATGTTCGTTTCCCCCGTCCCCTCGCTATCTCTAAGGGAACCAGCCCTACTTGGCATAATGACGTCGTACTGAGATATTATTGATCGCGTATTGTATGCTGTCCGAACAGCAGCGATGCAGCGATCGGCGCATTGAATGCCGTGTCATGGTCGGGTTGGATCCAAAGCCAGCTACTGCTGTATGATGAAACGACGACATGTTTTTTCCTCTCACATTTCCTAGAACACAATGGTGGGCTGGCTACACACGATCTATGGACCGGTGTTGGTTTGCTTTGGACTTTATCCTGCCTGCTTCGCAAAAGGGCTTGAGGAGCACGTAACTGCCGGGTGATTCCAACTGTTTCTGCTTGCCGGCACCACCTTTGCGCTGTACACTCAACAAATCGTTTCTCGCTCCCTCCCATCTATCCGTAAAAGTTGGTTCTTGCTTAATCATCGAAACGAAAGAAGTCGAACCGGCAGCGATTTCCGCACCGGACGTTCGCACCATAAAATAAAGCTTGCATCGTAGGGTCAACCACACCTCTTCTAGTTGTGTCAACTTGGACCACGAGGAAATAGAAGCCCGAGGGGGTACGCAGACCCAACCCTGAAACCCTAACCCAACTTTCCCCATTGCTCGCTTTATCCAACATGTCTACTTCATGACGAAAATCTGCGAAGGCCACTGATCCAATTCGCCACCGCTCGCCCGTGCTTTGCCTTTCTTTTCCCCACCCCTGCTGTTTTTTTCTTTGCTTTTGTTCCCCCATCCGTCGTTGCAGCTGCGGTGGCGCGCAAGGTGTACCTTCGCCCCGGGCGCGGTGTCGGCGGCCTGAGCAAGGCGTTCGGGACCAAGGCACGCCGGGGGACCATGACCAACACGCACAAGCCGGCGGCAACGGGCATCATCCGCCACGTGCTCCAGCAGCTCGAGGCACTCAAGGTAAGAACACGGGAAGAGAGAAAGGAAAACGCGTTTCGCCAAAGAAGATTGATATTGTAGTCCCCATTACGATGACTACTCACACTACCGTTGCAATTGAGTTGTTCGTCTTGCTCCAATGTTATGCCGCGTTTATTTGCCAAACACGTTGTTGGGGTTGCACTCCTGCAATTTTTTGTTGGTGATACCATTGTCGCTGTGTTACTTGTTTGGTTTCCAGAATAGTAGCCCTACCGTGGTTTGATCATTTGTTGGAAATGCCGTTTGTTTTGGATTTGGTTCGTGCGGAGAAAGGGGAGAGGAAGAGGGTGCCGTGAAGAAGCTTCTGTTTGTTATGATCATCACATGATTATAAAATAAGAACCTCCTACTCATTCTGAGCGCCCTTTCCCTCTGTTCTCGAAGGCAATGTCATACTTCTACTTCAGTAGCAGCACATTCGCCTGTGTCCCGTGCTCACCGCTAGTGTCAGTCTCCCGTGAGGAGGGCATATCAAGGGCAGTCCGGTCTACGATTACTTTTGGAACGGTTCTGTGAAGCCATACGTTGAGGGAGTGCCCACACCCAAGGATGTGTGCGCGTTTCTGAATCGTCTGCACGCCCATCCTCTCACCAGACCACTTCAAGTAACGTGATAATGATGATGCCTTGGGATATCTGCATCTGCTTCGCTACATGTATCTTGTTGCCTGCATCTTTCTGTTGTTTGTACTGAAAGCACCAACATTGATCGTGCGACATCATCATCGAACATGTGATAAAGTAATTCGATGAAAGACCCAGTTGATTATTTGCTGCCGCGTAACGACACCCCTGCTCTGGTGTTCCTTTCCTTCATTGGGACCAGTACAGCATTGTGAAAGCGTGCGGCCCTCTTGAGTGTCAGCAAGAGCTGCAGTTGGAGGCATCGGCGTGGATGAAACCCTGGCAGCCCTGCAAAATGTTGATTCTGCTCAACAGAATCATCTTGTTCGGGATGGCAAGCAGACGTTTGCTCCGCCATTCCGAAGAAGATGATCCTGTTGGGGAGAATCAAGATTCTGCTCGTGTTGCCGATGCTGCTTGGACCTTGATGCCTCCGACCGCCACTGCTGCTGCTTCTGTTGCTGCTCCAGGACTCCATTGCGGATTCCGTGCACTACACACGCGGGCTTCGCCTGTAATGAACTCTAGAACCGCTGTCCCGGCACATCAAGAGTTGGACGTATTTTTTGCCTTGGACATCAAGCGTCGTGGCTAGAGGGGGTGGGACTAGATGATGCCTCAAAATTCCTTGAACTTTATCGCGTGCTGCGTGGATTATCGTGCACTTCGACGGGACACCGTATTCCCCACATTCCCCCTGTTGAAGTGACCTCCCCCCCCCCCCCCCCCCCCCCCCCCCCCCCCCCCCCCCCCCCCCCCCCCCCCCCCCCCCCCCCCCCCCCCCCCCCC